GGGACTCCCATGCCCCATTCAATCCCCCCTGCTCCCTGACTGCCCCCTCCAGAGACCCCTAACCCCCCCAGATCCCACCCCTTATCCAATCCCCCTGGCCGTGGACCCCTTACCATGAGCTGAGGCTCCTAGTCTCCCCGCGGAGCCAAATACTGCCACACGGGAGTGTGCAGCCCCGGCCCCCAGAGCACTGCATGTGCGGCAGCATGGCTCATGGGGAGGGGGGAGCATGTCTGACACCTGAGGAGCCCCAGCCCCAGAGCGCTGTGCACAGCGGCATGGCTCCAGGGGAGGGGGGAGCGTGTCTGACTCCCCGTGAAACCCCGGCCCCTAGAGCGCTGTGCGCGGCGGCATGGCTCCAGTTTAGAGGCACACATAGTGCAACCAGTGCTTTCACTCCCTTCAACACATTGTGGCTGCTCTACTCCATCATTATTTGTATTTTCTCCCTCTACCATTTCCTCCCCCAAAATGTCTAGCAGCTCGTCTTTGAATGCTAGCTGGGGTGTCATTTTTGTGCATTGATTAGAGAAGCCCAGACACAGGTCAGGAAGGAGTTAAATATGGTTGCACCCCACAGTTTCTTTATCTCCTTTTATTTCTCTTCCCAAGTGATTGTTTCTCCCCCTTTCCACCTACTGGAATGCAAACATGCCTTTTACTCTAGTGGCCAGTAAACAAGATTTTCATTTAAAATTATACAGTACTTACTTTAAGCCTGTTACTGTTTTTGTTCTGTAACTATCAAAGCATCATACTAGTGGGATCAAATGTTTCTAATGCCGATTGATAATACGGAGTAAGTGAAAGCGAGCACATGGAAATACATGAAAGTGCCCTGTAAGACAATATATATTATTTTGATATAGAAAGAGAAACTGTACCTTCAATGGATTGTGAATCCTCAATTGATATTTTATGACAGCCATTGTCGTCTAAATCAAAACGCAGAGTTTTTGAGTCCCTTGTCAGTATGTAACATTTCTTTCTGTCATAGTGTTGGTATGCTAGTCACAAATGAATTTCAGTTAGTTTTGCTGGTCACAGAAAAATAGAAAGGTTACCTAGGAGAATGTTTCTGTTGCAACCCCTGCAAAGTGGAAAAACTAAACAAGTCTTAAAATACAACCACAGGCAACATGAATGTAACACCATGGGCTCAGGCAGCTATGCTTTTGGGTTTGGCTAAACTTCAGTCATCTTTTTTTGCCTTTGTAATGACAAAACCAAACCCAATGCTAACTTTAGTTTTGAATTCACCACCTGTAGGAAACATTTTATTTAGATGATGTTTAAAAAAAAAGTGTATGGTACAGAGTTTAGGCATAGAAGTTTCTGGTGATCAGGGAATAACGTACAGATTATCAAGGGGGTGTGAAGTTCGGTTTAAGATCGGGTGGCGAAAGGAATACATAATCTGCAATAGCCCCGATTGGGGGTAAAAGTTAACGGTAGTAAAAGACAGAAATAGCTTGTCAGTAGGGGCTAAGCCCCACCAATAATGTCACACAACAGTACAGAAAGGCTGATGTACCTCAGGGTGCAATACCACCTGCAGCTATTGGGGGCTACTGGAGATATTGGAGCTACTCCAATCCCGGAGGCTAAACCAGATAATGTTGGGAGACGTCTGGCCCTGCAGCATATAGGTTGCAAGGCAAAGGGGGAGGAGGCATAGAGCACAGAACACAAGTTTCTGTGGGGCTAGCCCCACAGAGGCAGAATACAGGACTGTTTGCAGATGCTCCCTTCTGCCTCTGCTCCAGAGTTGCCAGTTTTGGTTGGATGAATTCCTGGAGATTTTATCATATGACATAATCTTTAATTAAAGATTAATCTTTAATTTCTAGTAGGGAGAAATTAGTAATGGGGAAATTAAGTTTCGGTTTTGTAATGATCCAACCACTCCCAGGTTGGGTCATTACAAAATCTAAACTTAATTTCCCCATTACTAATTTCTCCCTACTAGAAATTAAAGATTAATCTTTAATT